ATACCCATCTCCTCCAAATCACGATGGGCACTTAGACCATCCTTTGGTTTGCCCTCAATATTCATAATGGTACTAAGAATACTATCACATACGTTTTTCTCTATATGCATGACATCCAAATTGTGGTGTACTAAGAGCGATGACCAATATGGCAATTCAAAGAAAATAGACTTCTTTTTCCAATTATGAGTTTTGCCAACCCATTGATTTTTGTGCCTTTCCCCTTATTGCCGAAAGGTATTGTTTCTAATGAGAGAAGTTGATTTTTTTACCTCTTGAGATGATAATCGCTCTGGTGTACGTCTTTTTTCTACTGTCTCATTAAATTCCTTCTTCTGCTTGAACCATTTATGATCCGATGGCAAAAAACGGTGATGATCCATGTAATATTCCTTATATCCATTATTCAACCTCAAATGTGAGGTGTTGCCTGCGCAGGAAGGGCATGCCAATTTTCCTTTTGTACTCCAAACATAAAGGAGACCATATGCTGGAAAATCATTGATAGTCCACAACACTGCAGCTTTCATGTTGAAATTCACTTGCTTGAATGCATCATAATTCATCATTCCATCACTCCACAACGACTTCAGATCATCGTTGAGGGGTCGCAGGTAGACATCAATATTGTTTCCTGGACTTTTCGGACTAGGAATGAGCAATGTAGTCAAAAGCGAGTTTCTACGTAGAAACGTTTTGGTGATCTAGAAGCGTAAAATCGTAAGTTTTTAAGTTTTAAAGCGGAATTTTTAACTACATAAGTTGTAAAAACTGAGATTTTGCGTAGAAGCGTTTTAGTGACCTAGAAACGTAAAGTCGTAAGTTTTTAAGTTTTAAAGCGTGATTTTGACTACATTGGGAATGAGTAATGTCAATAACAGATATGGACTCTTCATGCATAACCACGGTAGAAGATTATACGAGAACATAATCATCGACCATGTACTATGCATGTTATTCATGTTGCCAAATAGATTGAATCTATCTGTTGCTAATCCCGATCGGACGTTGCAAGATTCAAAACCAAAAGAAGCATCACACTGGTTCAAAACTCACCAAGCTTCACTGACAGCAGGATGCCTTAATTTGCCATCTCTGACACATTGTTCGGCATGCCACACCATATCTTCAGCAGTTTTCCACGACATGAATAATCATTGTAATCTTGGCTTTATGGGAAAATATCTTAGTATCTTGTAGGGCACCTTTGTCACTCTCCACCTTCTATCCTTACTGATTTTTTTGTACCTTGGTTTCTGGCAGGAAGGGCATGATGTTGCTTCTTTGAGCTCCCTGTAGTAGATGACACGGTCATTTTACAAGCATCTATTTCTTCATAGTTGAGCCCAAGGCCACTCAACATCTTCTTTGCTTGATAGTAATTCTTTGGCATTGAAGACTGTGCCATAGGGAAAGCAGATCGAAGAAACTTCAACAACTGCGTAAAAGAGGTATTACTCCAAGAATCGAACCACTTCAAATGCATTATCTTCACCAATCATGAAAGGCTAGATAGCTTTTCATCACACCCTTCGTACAATGGCATCTGAGCTTCTCTGACTAGTTTGAAAAACTTCTCTGCTTCTACATTGGGATTCTCGGGCTCAAGATCCAAATGCAGTCTCAAATCATTTAGTAACCACGACATGTCATCTACATCCATCTCGTTATCATCATCTCCTGTATCCTCGTCTTCAGAATAATCATCATCTTTCTCTCCTTGGTAAATCCATTTAGTGTAATCACGCGACATTCCTCGTCGTAGAAGATGTAGCTCAACTTCTAGTTTCTCCCGTCTTACAACAGTACGATAGTCCACACAATGACACCATATTTTGTTGTCTTCGTTTTGAATATTGTTAAATGCAAACGTGCCAAAATTTTGAACGCCATTCGCACACTCCATAGTTGATCTATTACGAAGTTGCGTCCATGATTTATCAACACCTGCCATAACCTACAAACAATGTACCATAAAATTTTAATTATCACATTTCAATTAAATGAAAAATAAAACTATATATATATGTAGCCCATTAACCGTATTAGATTTTTCTTAGCAACTAAATTGAAAATACATCTTATGTAAAAAGTAATTGAAATGAAAAACTTACTAACCAACAATTAAATCGTATCATGCCCTTCTTCTTAATATTATACTTTTTTTTATCAATTAAGCTCATCATCACTCCATCTTCTCTCACAAAAAAGGAACACATCACTCTATCTTCTCTCGTCTTCTCGCATGCGCTCTGGTTAAACCCCTACCCGAGTTCAATTTTGTTCACTTACCCAGAAATTGAGGCGATTTCTTAGTCTGTCGATTGTTGTCGATGATGGAAGCTTGGGGGGCACATAGGAGACGACAATGGTGCTTCCGATTGCTGCGGCGGTTGGAGAACAAGGGGGCGGGAAGGAGACGTCACACCTGTCGCCGGTTGCTCCGATGGGCCGGCGATCTGAGTAGCATGGACGAGGCGACGCGACGGCAACCCAATACTCTGGTGGGTTTGGTTTTCGGAGCGAATGGAGTATCGAGAGAGAAGAATGACGCCAGAGAGGCGATCTTTAGTCGCCGGAATCTGGGTTTGTTTTCCTTTCTTTCGATTTGATTTGTAGACGGATTTCAATTCATATGCCTAGCCTTTAAAAGGATGCGCTTTGATTTCTCCAATTGCAGGTCTAAATCAAACATGCATGCACCCACAAATCAGCTTTGAACTCTCTGAGATTGGGTATGAATCGGAATTCCATGTAATTACGATTTGTTCTTTGCACATTCATGCACAAAATGGGGGTCTGTTCGGGTGCCTGAATATCCTTCACTTTGATTTGGTGCCTAAAGGTCAATTACTATGTTATGGTGCAATTTTTGTGGACCAATTTTGCCTCTGATGCATCATTGGTTCATTCTTGCTGCTTTTTCTGAATCGACCATTCATGTATGCAATCTGTTCATTCCCCCTGCTCTGTTAATTGTCATGTCTAGTGTCATTAGGTCGTTTAATTGCGTAGAATTACCCAATTCTCTAAACTAATCCTTAATTTAAAAAAAAAAGTTTTAGGAGATTAATATGAAAAGAGGGATCTTCGGTCGTATAATACCAACAAGATTTACTAAAAAAAGAACCAAAAACCTCTTTGTATCATGATTTCTCTTCGTTTGGCTAAAATTAATGCGGGATTGTTTTTATCCGTTTCCCACCACAATAACTACACAACCACTGCTCATTATTAAACCTACTTTCTATTATCACGCTTCAGTAGAGGCAGAGGCAAAGTAACCCAAAAGACTAGTCATTTCTTCTCTGCCATTGTTTTTCTTCTCTGCCATTCTTCTCCCCCCATTCACAAAATCTACTTTCACTAGATGAAAAAGCAAAAGAAACGCCCCTGATCTCAGAGCTAGAGGGAAGATTCTACACCACGTGACCCTGAGTAGAGCAACTCTCCACCTCTTGTTCCAGAGATTCAGGAAGAAGGACAAGAAGGCAGGAGCACCAATCCTGTTCCTGTTACTGAAACTCAAAGAACGGAGGAAAGGACCCATGTTCCTCAATTGGAAGAAGAACCAGAGTAGGTTGATTCCAATGCTCATCAATCATCTGCGGATCTTTCGTCGGATCTATGGTTGTTTTTGTTTAGTTTGATTTACAAAGTTTGAGTATTAGCTGACTTTTGTTAACTTATGATAAGTACCACCAAAAAAAGAAAAGGAAGAGGTCCAGGAAAGTAGGGGTGAGCATTGGGTGGTTGAACCCATAAATCCACCCAAATCTACCCACGATTGACCCACCCATTATTATGTGGGTGGTTCCTATGGTTGGGTGTGGGTTGTAAAATAGGTGATCCACAAAAGATTGGGTGGGTTTGGGTGGACTTTGGTTGGCCCACGACCCACCCAACTTGTTAACCTCAAATCATCAAAGCTCTAACATATAGCTTTACCAGAAATGATAGCCTCAAAATCACTAAAATTCCTGTTAATTTCAATCAAAGGATTGTGTTGTGAGGTGTGTTATGACAATTGGAGGTACACTTAAGCATAACTAGTAGACAAATGGCAGAAAAAGACAATTGTCTTTCCCAAAATGACATCATCTCAAACTACCACCTATTCATTCTTCATTCATTGATTTCCTTCCATCAATTTGTAATTTTAATTTGTGACTATGGGTTAAAAAGCTATATTTACGACCCCAACGCTTAGGCGAATGAGATGCTAGGCAAGACCAAAATGTTTGCTTTATGTCTAGTGCCTTCTTGAACCTTGGTCTTATCAGGCTTAGACCATATTTATCAGTCGGATATTTTATCAATATTGGACAATTACCATAACCAATGTTGTATAATAAATGATTCAATTTTCATTTTAAGTTTGAAAATATTGAAATTATGTAATCATATGGAATATATGTTGTAAACCCACCAAATCCACCCATCATCTGCAATCACCCAACCCATCCACATGTAATGTTTGGGTGGGTGTGGGTCATGTTCTTCTTCACCCACAACATAGTGGGTGGTTCCAAACCCACCCAAATCCGCATGAACTCACCCATTGCTCACCCCTACAGGAAAGGGAGTCAAACTTGGGCACAACCTATCCCTGGAATTTCACGACAACAGGTCAGTAAACCCTATACGACACTACTACTGCCTACTTATTTATTTAGGTTGTAATCAAAATCTGTAAGTCACTTAATCATTTTTCATGCTTCTTTATATGGCTTGTGCAAGATAATCACCACTCAAGTAGGCCGCGAGATTTCAACCATATTCAAAAAGAGCATCACTGGGCCTTGGATTACATTCTCAGAGTATCCGACATCAGAGCTGCAGACTCTGATAGCTCGTTTCAAGGAGTAAAGATTCACTTACACTGGTTCAGAAGAGACGTTTAACAAATGGTCAAACAACACATGAAGAGAAACTATCCCCAGTGGATGCATGGCATCCGAGACCCGATATTCACGAAGTAAAAAGATCTTAATGATAGAATGAACCATCCACCACCCCAGATAACTCCATCAATCTGGAGGGAAATGGTTCAGAAATGGGCTAACCTGAATTGGTTGGTAAGTTCTTGTATGCAATATTTTGTTCTTTCTTAGTAATCTGTTTTGCAAAGTGAGTTGAATGTTGTTTTATTTCACTGTGCAGGAAATAAGTGATAAGAACAAAAAGAATCGGGAGAAGAGTGAGCTTGCAACCACTAGTGGTTCAGCACCTTTGACCAAGTACAGATATGAGGAGGTAAGCGGTTGCACTTGTAAATGTTTATGTTATGCTTCAATTATAATCACTTTACATGTTTTGAACCCAATGTTTTGGAGTTAATTGTTTGGTAGATAAAAAAACTGGAAAAGAACCTGATCCGATCGAAATGTTCAGACGTTTCCATATGAAGGACAAAAATTGGGCTAGCTCAAAAGGCAAAAGACGTGCATGTAAGTTCAATACTGTTGGCTTCTTTTTGCAACACTACATGCTGTCTTTTTTATATCGATGTTAGATGTATATACCAAATCATTAGGCTGCTATTTGTACTAGTTTTTGCTGTCTTTTTTTTATATCGATATTAATGTTATTTACCATATGATTAGGATGGTATGATAGAAGCAGATGCTACAAAGGTATCACAAGGGGAAGAACCAAATAGATTTTCCATCTATCAAGAAGTGATAGGACCACAACGTCACAAGTGTGTTTTAGGGATGGGCCATGGGATGAACTCGGTTGATGTCTTCGGTCCCCCATCGAGTCAGGGTTGCGACAAGCTTTGTCAGGAGGATCGAATCAAAGAAAGGGAAAAAGTGATGACAAAATGAAGAAGTTGGAGAATGAGATCGTAGATGTGAGGAATGCAGCCCCTCACATCGTTAAATCTGTGTTGTAGACACTTGGAGTGCGGCTGCCAGAGTCATTCGACATGGTAACTACTTTGCTGCCATGTTTTCTTTTTGTACTCCTAACATAATTTTCGAAGCTATGAAATATGGGCATTTAAGTTAATGTACTTGTTATATTATCTGTAGGATATCAATAGTGAAGCCAATGGGTAACATGGTCGAGTTGGCGAAACTCAGGATAACGATGAGTCTGACGAGGAGAATGCCGACGAGATTGCTCCTGCATGAATTTCTTTTAATGGTATCATAGGATTCTAATTATGGCTTGGATTTTGGGTTATTTTGTGTCATTTTCTGAGGATATTAAGTCTTTTGAATTTTGGATGTTTGGTCGTAGCTGATGGCTACTTATAAGACAGTTAATCTAAGTCAATTTCGGAATATGATCATCTATGCATAACTTCGTTTGGATGAATTTTTTTGTGTGATCATCACAATTAGTGTAATGGCGTCACAAATGAAATTTGGTCACGCTATTTGCTACAAATGTATCATCGTCAGTAGATATAATTTCACTATTGACAATAAGTAAGCGTCATTAGTAAATATAATTTCTCCGACGACACGTTGGAAAAGCTTATTTTTGACGATAAATAGTTGTTCTCAGTAAATATAATTTCTCCGACGACACGTTGGAAAAGTTCCTTTTTGACGATGAACATTTGTCCTCGGAAATAATAATTTCTCCGACGACAAGTTGATTTTTTTTTGTTTTAATGAAAACTTGTTGGCATCAATAAAAATAATATTTCTGACTATCCGTTGAAAATACTAACATTATTGACGCACAAACAAACTCACAAATGTATGTACAACGTATAAAAAAGTCGGCCTCAAATATTAGTCCAAAATATTTATTTTCGACAATTTGTGGATGTTAGTATAACTAATATTTATGACGGCTAGTCAGAACTTCTAGTTTACTTACAAAGATAAATCATAAAAAATAAATAAATTTGGCATCGAAAAAAAACTCCGTAAAATTCATTTGTCATGAGTGATTTCATTTGTGACGTCACCTATTTTATTACTAACAAATTTATGTTGTCGATAATATTTTATTTTGGGACGACTGGTCAGTAATATTTTATTAGCGACGGGATAATTTCTGACGACTTCCGACGACTGTATGTCGTTGGAAAAGGTATTTTTCGATGCAAATTTATTAAATTTGACTTAAAACGTGTTGTTGGTAATGACTGTCTTTTTTGTAGTGTAAACTGGTGGATTCAAGCCAAAGGAGGGGGATTCGACTTTTTGGAGCAAAAACAAAGTTCTAGAGAGAGAAAGTGACGAAAAACAAACCCTAGGAGCTATTTGGAGTGTATTAGTGAAGATTGAAGCCGAGATTGCATCTTCAGGAGTGAAGATTGACATCCTAGAGCAGATTATTCCTATCTTTATGAGTATGACTGCTTTGATTTCTGTTTTCCTCTATCTCTATGGAGTAGAGCTTTCTCTCACTTGGGTATGAAGAATCAGATGAAATCCCATAATACACATGTTTTTTAAAAAAATTCCCAAAATACACACATTATAAAAAAATTCCCAAAATACACATGTTTGGGCATCACCGCTGTTGTCAACCGCAATGAATGCATTCACCGTGGCAGACCAAAGCGGTGAATGCATCACCGCGGTTGACGGCCGCGATGAATGCCTGACGTAACACTAAAACTTCAAACAAACATAACTTTGCGCTCGGCTATCCGATTGTAGCGAATTTTTTTTATTCCATATAACTTTTCAAGATATTTCAATCTGCAACAAGACTTAATCTAAAAAAAATGTCGTTTGTTACCTCGAACGAGCAATTTTTCAATTTTGCCAAACTTTGGAAGGCCATAACTTTTTGCTCCTCAATCCAAACGTCGTAAAGTTTATTTTGATTGCGCATAACTTCTTGAGAACTGCAACTTTTACTAGGAAATAATTTTTTAAAAAAGAAATATTTTTGGGTATACGGGATTTTGGCAATAACTTTGCCTTTACTTTTCACAAATCCACATACTTTCCAAAATTATGGTTATAATCAAAGTTGTAGTCCTTCAAATGTTATGCGAAATCAAAAAAATTTCATGACATTCGGATTGTGGAGCACAAAGTTATGGTCTTCCATAGTTTGTCAAAATCGAAAAATTGCTCGTTCGAGGTAGCAAACGAATTTTTTTGGGATGAAGGCTTGTTGCAGATTGAAAGATCTTGAAATGTTATGTGGAATCAAAAAATATTTCGCTACAATCGGATAACCGAGCGCAAAGTTACGTTTGTTTGATGTTTCAGTGTTACGTCAGGCATTCACTGCGGCCGTCAACCGCGGTGATGCATTCACTGCTTTGGTCTGCCGCGGTGAATGCATTCACTGAGGTTGACAACAACGGTGATGCCCAAACATGTGTATTTTGGGAATTTTTTTATAACGGTGTATTTTGGGAATTTTTTTAAAACATGTGTATTTTACGATTTTTTTTCCATGAAGAATCCTAGTTCCATGTGTTAGGGATCTTGCTTGTAATGAATTTTAGGATGATATGCTGATTGGTTTTAATCGATTGAAGGGTGTTTATTGCGTCAATTGAATCCTGATCAACTTCTCTTGATTTATTCTTCAACCTGTGATAGATAGAATCTGATCACGTTGTTAGAGCTTCTTCAATCGATAAGAGTGAATTGACTGTACGAGAGTCAGTCAATTCACTGCTTTGTACTGGAATCCATTTCCACTAGTGGAATCTGTGTGAATTGTCTTAGCATTCTATCCTGGTGAAGACTAGTCGTCTGCCGGATAGTCTGTCTAAGAGGGCTTGGTCAACTTAAGTGATTCCAAGCTACTTTCTAATCTTCGACAGTTTAATCAATAGTGAATCAACCAAAGGTAATAACAACTTGAACCTAATTAAGGAGCTAGGGGGACTCATTCCCGAGTGACTCTTCTCTTGCTTCAGAAACCAAACAGTTTACTGCTTTCTTTTTGCTTTAGTTTAAACTCATTCTCACTCAACTTTCCCCGCTAGATAATAGATAATCACGGAGTAGGCAGTACATCTAGGCTCTGACTTGACTTTTATTACTTGATCCCACTATACTGCATTTTCATTATACGATTACACTTGGTCACTGTTTGGTGTTGTGTCATAGCGAGTCACCTACACCTGTGTACCTTCACCAACCCACATCCAGAACATATGGTAACCCTCACGATCTTCTCTTATAAAACTCCCACATTGAGGACAATGTGTTGCTGAAGTGTGGGGGGATGTGTATGAATGTTTGAATGCATATCATGATTGGTTGAACCATATATTGCTAGAATCCTCCCTTGTTTACAAATGTAAGACATTGATGAATACTTATGGGAGTGTGTGCTAGTGATTGTGTTTGTGTTGTGGTGATCAATGGTCAAATGATAGTGTTTTGGAACCTTGAATATATACTATTACCCAAATTTTTTCAAATCGGAGGATTCCAAAACACCTTGTTCCTTGCAACTCCCTACTCAATATGTTTTGATTTGTTAGATGATTGATGTGGTGTGTTCGCTAGGTGATAGTTGCATGATTAGAGTACCGGTGTGTGGGTAATTTTACTATCTTCTTCCTCTTTTGTGAGTCGATAATAAGTGCTATTTTAGGAAGAACATGTGTGCGAGATTCTCTTTTGTGTCTAGTGAACTCAAAACTTTTACAAGTTTGTGCGTATTAGAAAAGATAGAAAAGAGTGAAGCATCTTTTAAAATTGAGGCTCACGTGGGAGGCAACCAATCCTCACGGATTTGGAGTCCCTTTGAGGATATGCTTGGATATTGGATAGCTTTACCACGTCTTGACCATATTTCACTACTTACCATCCCCCAAGTATCTTTCTTCTTTACGGAATCGTATGCCAAGGTACAAAATACCTTTTAGTGATTCATGAGACATTGTAGCTCTCGTTTGTACCCGACATGTGTGGCAACCCAATGTGGAGTGCAGGCTGGGAGTGGTGCTCGGGCTAGGACGAATCAGCCCATCAACTTCCCCACATGTGACCTTGAAAGGGAAGATTATCATTCATCCGCTCTTGGTCATGAGGGAGAGATGCTTGTTTGCAAAAGAATTGCAAAAGCTTGGTGCAATGTGCGTCAATGTCAGAAAAAATGAGACCAATAAACGACAACTTCTAAATCTAAAGAGAATAAAGAGCACCTTCAAGAGTTCTAGTTCGTGTTTGTTGTCTGAAAAATCCCCGGACAACACCTTGAATATTCGGCCTAAGGTAGTAGGTATGGTCCTCACCCGAGATTTTGTGTTTGCACAGTAAGAAGATAGTAACGTTCATTCATCTCCGTCTACTCTCTTTTATGCAATGAAGAACTAGAGTGCATTCCCATTGATTTGTCTATCATGTTGCATTAGGTTTGAGTAGGTTTATTTGGGGACAAGCAAACGCCTAAGTGTGGGGAGTTTGATAACACCTAAATTAGTGGTTTGATACTTGCAAACGCCTAAGTGTCGGAGAGTTCTAACTCTCCTGTGGACTAGTCCCGATCTCAAGAGAAACCACGTAAAACGCGTGTCTCATTTTCTTCTTTGTTTTCATATACGTTGGTTGAGAGTGTTTTGATACTTGCTAACAGCTTCGTGTTTCTTTTGATTCACAAGCATACAAACTCCTTCCCACAAAGTGTTCGGAAATGAAAACAATCAGCAAAGACATGTAACATGTTTCCTGATGCGTGCGTGCATACATCAACTTACATCTAGATAAAGAATGGCAATAAACATATGTAAACAATCACGAGACTATACAGGAGCTTCGAAATGTCTGAGTCTGATGTTTCTTGTCATAAGTTTTGTCTAGAAGTAACATGCATTCCGCCTTGTGATGGAACTTGGGCCGAATAATGCTGGACACAACCCGGAAGTAAGAGCTTAGCCCCACTCTTACCACTATCGGCAACCCTCTCCCTGACTCCATCAAATCCTGCATGTTTCTTCCAGCTCCATACATTGGTTTGTTCCTCGTCCCAACATAAAGTCGAAAGGACGTCGAATCATGGTTTTCAGCGTAAAATTTGGAGCCCTGGTGAAAATTAATAATGTGGTGTATGCAGTAGAGATTGATGAGTAAATCAATAACAATAAGGCTGCAGGTTAATAAATATGGTTATACTTACTCTACAAGAAATTAAATCACGATAATAATAGGGTATATAATCATTGAATTTCATGCTAATAAGGTGGTTAATC